TACATACAACATTGACCTTTACCTTAAATATTCCAGTGAGCATTTCCTAAGAATAGAAATATTTTCCTATAGATTGATAAAGGAACTTTTATTGTAAATATCAATATTTACATTGACACCTTTATTTACTCCACTGTGCAAATGACATAGTATCAGTTGGTCTAATAATTTCCTTCATAGAATGTTTTTCTTTTCTTTAACCAGTACAAAATCCATACTAGGGTCAGGCATTGCATGCAATTGTCACACTGTTTTAATCTTCTTTAATCTTGACCATGTCCACAGCTTTTCTTTACCTTTTATGGTATTTACACTTTTTGAAGAACCGAGTCCCCTCATTTTATTTTATTAAAATAGCATTTTCTTCACTTAGTATTTGTCTGAGGAGTTTGTGTGATTAGATTGAGGTCACACTTTCTCCACCACGTTGTATCTTTCTCAGGGCATCACATCAGCAGGTGCACAATGTGTAAACATCTTTTCAAAGAAGCTTGCTTGTTCAGGGAAGTAGAAAAATAAGGTTGTGGCTATAAGGCACTGTTCCTCAACTTTAGCTGCGAATTAGAATTATTTGAGTAGCTTTATTTTAAATTTTTACTTATTTATTTTTAGAGAGAGGGTGAGGGAGGAAAAAAGAGAGGGAGGCAAACATCAGTCGTTTGCCTCTCCTACGTGGACCGAACCTGCAGCCCAGGCTGGTGCCCCCATCCAGAATCGAACTGGGGACTTCTCTCTTTGCAGATGTCACCCAACAAACTGAGCCACAAAGGTCGGGATTGAGTAGCTTTTAATACCAGTGTAAGGTTCCCCCTCCTCTGGAGATAATGACTTAACTGGTCTTGGGTGGGGGCCCAGATATCAGCATTTAAAAAAACTTCCTAAATGTTACTAATGTACAGCTAATTTTGAGGAACTTGGCTGGAAGGGTATGTGGGAGGTGATGGTGATTGATTTAACATGATAGAAAGCATGCTTGAATGTTGTTTTGGAGATTTAGTATAACAAGAAAAAGTTGGAGGATTAAAGAAAGATGTGAGGAATTCCGAAGCCTTTTCTTTAAGGCCCTTGTAATTTCCTTGCATACAACTGCAGCAAAATAATAATACGAGATAATGATATCATGCCACACCCTTCAACAATGAGGATGGGTTAAATATGTAAATATAAGCAATTATATGTATTTTTTGAATGTCTGTGAAAGTCAAACTTTCTTACAAAATGTAAGAATCCAAGTATACCAATAGTTTTTCATATTTAACTGTTAATATTTTACAGCAGTGATTATGAATATCTTTTTTATTATAATAGCTTGATCTTATTTATAGGAAAGTACCAGTTAATATTATTTATGCCTAGAGTTGTAGTAATGTAATAATAGGCTATCAAAGTTTTTTTTAAGTTGACAATGCTTTATTTATTGATTTTAGACAGAGGGAAAGAGAAGAAAGGCAAGACAGACAGACAGATAGAGACAGAAAGAGAGGTAGAGAGAAAGAGAAAGAGAAACATTCATTTGTTGTTCTTTGTTGTTCCACTTATTTATGTATTCATTGGTTGTTTCTTGTATGTGCTCTGAATGGGGATTGAACCCCCAGCCTTGGCATATCAGGACAATGCTCTAGTCAACTGAACTAATGGGCTGAGGCCCAGTATCAAAAGATTTTAATGTCAAACTCTTAAGGACTGCAAGAAGGATATGCTGCACCTTGAAAGTAGATATTTTTTTCTGTGTAAAATAAGATTTGCCATTACTTATCAAATAAGATAAACTCTTACTGCCGAAAGTGGGAAATAAAACCACTAACCCCTAATAAGAACTATTAACATAATTTAGTAGTATGCAATACATATGATTATAGACAAAGTTACAAAATGTAAATGTGTTTCAGTTTTGAAGGCTGCACTGAGAAAATAGTAGGGTAATATGGGCTAGCATGGTTCATAAAAACTTTGCTACTATTGACCAGGGGAGAGGGAGTAGAGAGCAAAATAAGCCATTCAGAGAAACAAGTTTACAAATAGTATGACTTTATAGATGAAGAAATGGAGTGGTCAAATAAGTTAACAAGTTATTTAGGAAAGGTTTGATGGCAGTAAGAAAATCACAGGGATAAATTCTCTAGGTAGAGAGGGAAGAGGTTGAAAAGACAAAAGATTAAGATTGAACTGTCAGTTACCCTCATCTTTATGTGTCGAATAACTATACTTACGTCTAGACATCACCTGTATAACTTAAATTTTTTAATTGAGGTGAAATTAATATAAAATGAAGTCATTTAGAAAAAGTACAATTCAGTCTATTTGCAATACCATGACATTACCCAACTGTATCCAGCTCAAAAAGATTTTTATTACCCCCGAAGAAAACCCCATATACATTAGTCAGTCCCTCTGTCTTTTCCCCTTTCCTTAGCCATTGGCAATTGTCAGTCTGTTTTCTTTTTCTATGGATTTACCTATTTTGGATAGTTCATATAAATGGAGTTATACAATATGTAATCTTTTGTGTCTGGCTTTTTTTCAATTAGCATAAGGTTATTGAGATTCACTTCCTTTGTAATTCATATCAGGGCTCCCTTCCTTTTTGTGGCTAATAGTCCATTGTATGGATATACCATATTTCCTTAATCCATTCCTCTGGTGATAGACATTTTTTTGGTTCCCACCTTTTGGTTTTTATAATTAGTGCTGCTGTGAACATTTATGTACAAGTTTTGGTTTGAACATATTTGAACTCTTGGGAATATACCTAGGAGTGGAATTGCTGGGTCATTTTATTCTGTTTAACTTATTGAGGAATTTTCCACAGCACCTGTATCATTTTAGATTTCTTTCAGCAATGTATGAGGGTTCCACTTTCTCCAGAATCTCTACAACACTTGTTATTTTCCAGTTTTAGATTATAGCCATCTTAGTCGGTATGATGTTATCTCACTGTGATTTTGATTTGCATTTCTCTGGTGACAAATAATGTTGAGCATCATTTTATATATATATATATATCTACACACATATATGTACATATGTATATATGTGTATGCACACATATGTGTGTGTATCCCTCACCTGAAGATATATATGTTCATGTTTGTTGATTTTAGAAAGAGAAGAGGGGGGAGAGAGAGACAGAGATAAACAGAAACATCAATATGAGAAAGAAACATTGATCAGTTGCCTCCTGTGTGTGCCTCCACCAGGGATTGAACCCACAACCTTTTGGTGTACAAGATGATGCTCCAACCAACTGGGCCTCTCAGCCAGGGCTCATATACTATTAAGAGCTATTAGCACTCTAGCCAGATAGCTCAGTTGGTTAGACCATTGTCCAGATAAACCAAAGTTGTGGGTTCAATCCTTGGCCAGGGCACATGCAAATATAAATCATTGAATGCATAAATAAATGGAACAACAAATTGATGTTTCTCTCTCCCTCCCTCTCTCTCTCTCAAATCAATAAGTAAAAATTAAAAAAAATACTTGTTAGCATATCTTTGGAGAAATGTCTGTTCAAGTCCTTTACCCATTTTATAATGGGGTTGTCTGTTGTTGAGTTGTATGAGTTGTTTATATATTCTGGATACCAAACCTTATGAGATACACGCTTTGCAAATATTTTCTCACTTTTTAAATTAACTTTTCCACCTCTGTCCTGAAAGTCATTTTTTCTTCAGAAGATCTTGAAATACATTGTTAACTATGCCCATGCCACTTAGTCCTTCCTTAGGGCCTTCAAAAATGCTCATTATAAAAGATGCTTGATGATTCTTAAACTGGTTGCTGGGTACATGGATATCCATTTTTTAATATATATGTTAAATATATATTAAATATATAAATATAATATACATATTTAATATATATTATCACCATATAGGTTATATTCACTCTTTTGTGTGTATGGATGTATATTTGTAAGAAAAAAATTTGAAGTTTGACAATGCTGCTTTCTCTACTACTGCATTCTCCTATTTCTGCTCTCTTTCACTAACATACTTCTAGAATGAGTAGCCTGTATTTGTTGCTTCATTTTATCCACAAGCGGTGCCTCTTTAATACCTTGTAATACAATTCTTTGTCCATCCTGAAATAATGACGCTATTAAGTCTATGCCCCAACTCCATCTGTATTCTATCTTCCTAGTTGTCACTCATGACTCACATAGCAGTTTTATGCAGATGACTCTTCGACTTGCATCCTGACCTAAGTTTTAACACAAGTTTTACACCTGTAACTATATGCTTGATAGTACCATTCTTTTACTTTACCAGATAGATTTCCTTGATTAGTCAAGTTTTTCCAGCCCCTATTTCTTCAAACTACATTGGTTTCCATCTCAAGAGTTTTGTAGTAATTGCTGGGTCCTCCCTCTTCGATCGCTCCTTATAACCAGTGTTATCAAGTCTTGTGATTTTTACTTGAAATACACTTCATCTCCACTCAATGGTTATCACTCCATTTAAATCTATATTCACAGCATGCTGGAATTATTTCAATAGCCTTTCTCTGCCTGACTCTACTTCCTCTCCCTCCTTGAGCAATAAAGAAAATCTGTAAGAAGAGCAATGGGGATGAAGTGTGTTGCTAGACAAGAAAGATAACCTAAGTAGTATTGTGAAAGGTGAAGGGGAGAACTTGACAGGGTGTTGACATGAGATGAAGCCCTAAATTGTGACTGTGGTGATGGAGAAGATGGATGTAAATGGGTAAAGTCCACTGGTGACCAATTAGAGCTGAAAGGATTTACATCTAACATCCTGTATGCTACTCCTATAAATTAACTACGTCAAGTGAATTTTTGCTAAGCGAGCCATTGCCGTGCTTCTGAGAGAACTGTCATACTTGGAGTGGACCAACCAACCTCCACCACCCAGACGGCTGATCCCAGATTGGCCGGTTGAGTATTAAGGAGCAGGGCTCTCTAGCTGGCGTCTCTATGGTTCTCGGGATCTCCAGGTCGGGGCTTGACCGGTCCGGCTTTTGCGCGTGCGCAAACCCAGGCACTGGCCCGCCCTCCCGCAACTGCTGGAACCCGGGTTGGGAGTGGGTCTGGAAGGATTGCGGCGCCTGCCGCCGCGGCTTCAGCACCTAGGGCTATACCCAGACCAAGCCTGCTCCAGGGAGTCTTCGGCCGCCTCCTCGGGAGGCGCTCACCCGGCCCAGATGGTGGGTCCGGAGGATGCCGGAGCCTGCTCGGGAAGAAATCGCAAGTTGCTCCCTGTGCCGGCGCCCGAGTCGGCGGGCCAGGACGGGAAGACGATCCGGGCCACGGGCGGCTTTGGCGGAGGCATCAGCGTTCCGGAGCCGCCGGAGGAGGAGGAGGGGGAGGAAGAGGAGACGCCGCCTCAGCAGCTCCTTCGGCATTACCTCGCGGCAGCCGGGGGGCAGCTGGAGCCCGGGCTTGGCTACTGTCCGCTCCCTGCCGGCCAGCACTGCTCTCCTCCGTCCTCAGCAGCCCAGCGCTCGGACGCCTGCCCGCGGGATCTAGGCGCCAAGCACCGAGGTGCGGAGGTGGCAGATGTCACTGCTCCTCGGCACGGAGGTATGACCAACGGTGACTCGGGCTTTCTGCTGGGCCAGGACTCTCGCGACGTGGAGGAGTCTCACGGGCTGGCCCGAGCTGGCCTCTGGAATCCACGCCACCGCCACCTCCACTTGGAGGGGCCTGGCGACGAGGGTGCTGACGGCGCGGGCGGCCGTTCTGACTGGGCCGCTCCGCTGGAGGACCCGCTGCGCAGCTGCTGCTTGGCCGCGGCAGATGCGGAGGAGATTGAGGGCTCGGGCTGCAGCGCAGGGGGCAGCACAGTCCTTGGTGGCCGCAGAAGCGAGGACTTGGAGCATCCTGGAGCTGGAGGTCCCGAGGAAGGTGTGTCCCCCGCCACCTCCAGCGAGAGGACTAGTAGGGGCGCAGACGCCGAGCGGCTCCTCGGCTTCTCCGACGTTCACTTGAATTCTCGGAACACGTTCGAGGTGAGCCGCTGCCAGAACGACAGCGACCACCTGCCCCCAGTGGGGCCACTGGTGCCCTCGTCCACCTCGGAGCAGGGCCCAGCGGGGACCGCAGCCCGGGTTCGACGGAGTGGCGGCTTCGTGGACTTCTTCGCCAGGTACAGCGCAGGCAGAGCTGGGGTTCGGGTTGGGTTTGGGCTAAGGCCCGGTGCTGGCCAAGAGTGGCTTGGGGGTCGCCTCGGTGCCAGCTCTCACTAGCGTCCAGACTTAGCTTTGATTTGTCACCCGAGGAAGAGGAACTGGTCTGCATTGTGCTGCCTGTGGAAGTTGTGAGCTCCAAGGGGAGCAACTCTTTCTGTTCCTTGTCGGATGGAGGCTATACCTCCCTTTCACACCTGGTTTCTGTGTATTCAGGTCCTGCCAGCCTGGTAGTGCCCTGCCTGCAGTTTTGCCCCTTCTGGAAAAGCAGACAGCCTTCTCGGTCCCCATTTTTATTTATTTGTTTGTTTTTTACTTGTACTAAAAGGATTGGGGGAAGGGGATGGCAGTATGTGTGGGGTTGTGTTTGTGAAAGAGGGAAGTCATTTTGCAGAGCTGTCTGCTTGGAGTCAATACATTTAAATAATTTGGGAATTCTTGAAAATAGAGGAGGCTATGTTTCACAGCGTTTAACCGTTTTTTTCCCAGTGGCCTTTATTCAAATGCAGTTTGGTATTTAGCATTTGATCCCAGTCTGTAAAGCCAAATTACTATGGTGGTTTATCTGGAAAATCTCTCTTCTCTAATTCTGACAGATAGGCTTCCACTTTTTTCAAGAACTTATTTTTAATTTTTTGTGGTATTTATATTATTTGACCTGCTATTCTTAAAATTAAATTATGGTGCTGGACATTGCATATTTCAGAATGGGGCTTTGTTGATTTGTCAGGGATAAGTAAGTAGTCAGAAAATACTCATTTTAATGCACATCAATGAAAAGTAAAAGCAATCTCCCTTGAGTCAGATTTTGACCCGCTTAAAAAAAGATCTGTAGGCAAATACGAAAGTATTCCCAACTTGTAAAACCCTCCCTTTCAGAGTTCTCTCTCCTGTGTTTTTGTTCCTATTTCTCTCTCTGTCTCTCTCACACACAAATTCTACAGCTCAAATTTCAGAGGACTGTAGTTAGTGTATGTTGTAGACACACAGTCACAATTTTCTGATTGTAAATAATATTTCTTATTCTTTTTTCTACTTTATTATCACTTATTTTTCCTACTTGTATAAACTTACAAGGAAATTGTAATGTGTTTAGATCAAGATTGGGAAATACTAATTTTGTGTTACTCATAGGGCAAAATATAGAGTAGTAAGATCTGCATTTTTGCCTGTGGTTGCAAAATATACTTAAAGTTTGTGGTGGCAGTGTTTTTAAAAGATCTCAAGGTGAGTTAAGTGTATATATTTGTGACCTTGTGTGGACCGTAGGTGTTTATTGGTCATGTTTTGATGTCTAGTGTCAGGCAATTTTAGACCTGGAAGGGGCTCTGGAGATCACTAATTCAAACAGTGTACCCAGAGTACTTGCTCTGCACTACCCATTGGGAACAGGAGCCATTGAGATGGTTTGGGCAATAGTAATGGTTCCTAACTTGGGGGTGGAGTACAGGCTAGTGGGGGTTAAGTTGGAAATTAAATATATATATATATACACACACACACATACACATATACACACACATAGACACATATATGTATGCACTGTAATTTATGACTAATAAGGCAATTCTATTATAAGAGGCTTTAATATTAACTTTAGGCAGGAATTTTGATATAATTAAAAAAATTTATCCTGTAGGTTAATAGTTTAATTAATGTAGCTAGTTGGTATTCATATGGCCACACTAGTCATATATCTCAGAGCATTGGGTTTGAAATTAGAAACCTTAGGTACCCTGAAGTTAATTTCTTTAAACCTCATTTTTCTTTGTTGAGATCTGAATGTTAACATTCTAGGTGTCATTGTTTCCTTTATGTAACATTGGTGGGAGAGGGCAGAGTCAGACAGAGGAACAATTTTTCTCTCAGCATTTAGCCAAAGCCTTACCTGAATTCCAAACACCTTAAAGGCAGAGACTGTGGCATTCGTCTCTGAATCTATAATGCCTAGCACTGGTATAAATAACCCCACTCAGGTGTTGAACTGGCAACTCGCATGGACTCTCCCACTCTAGGTAGTAATTTGTACATTGTAATTTTGAACAATCTTCCATCCCCAGGCAGAATAATCAGAAATTTCCCTTGCTTCTGCAACTTAAGAGGTTTTTTGTTTTCTTCCTATGTACACTTATTTTCAACTCTGAAGCTCTGGGCCAGGGCTCCCTTTGGGGATATCTCGTTTTAGTTTGTGTTCTTGTTCTTGGGTGCCACCCCCTATACCCATTTCATTTTTTGATGAGGAAACTTATTGTCTAAAGAAGTAGTTTAGTTAGTTGATGGCAGAGTTGGGATTAGGAACCAGGATCCCTAATTTCCAGCCGAGGTTTATATTCCATCACAAGGGCTGTTTACAGGTGGCTCTTTTCTTTCCCACCTGATTATCTTCCATCTTTTCTTTCTCCTTCCTGCTTTCTTTCTTTCCCTTCCTTGGGCAAAAATCTTTTAACAGAAATACTTCTAAAGAATAGCTTCAGGTTTGTTTTAACTTAGGTAAAGAGAGGGAAGCAGTTCACAGCATTATATCTATTACTGTAAATTTATGTTCAGTTAAGATACATCATTGACAGGAGCTTCATTGACTGGGGTAGAAATATTACAGGAGAGAAAGGAATGTGGTCCAGGATGGGACCACTGTCATGATCTCCTGCTTTCTCTCCCTGATGAGGTGAATTGTAGTTCTGTCCTTGTTGGGGGCTTGCCTCAGCTTCACAAGGGCATCTCTGTGTTTATAACTGCAACTTTGGCATATTGGGACAATGCTCTGATCAGCTGAGCTACCCAACCGGGGCATATTTTTTTAAAGCCATTTATTGCTTTTTAAAAAAGATTTTATTTCTTTATTTTTAGACAGAGGAGGAGGGAGAGAGAGGGAATCAATGTGTGGTTGCCTCTCGTGTGTCCCCTACTAGGGACCTGGTCCGAAACCCAGGCATGTGTCCTGACTGGGAATTGAACCAGTGATCTTTTGGTTCACAAGCCGGTGTTCAGTCCACTGAGCCACACCAGCCAGGGTGCCATTTATTACTTTGAGCATTATTCAGACTGAACTGTCATAGTTACTGTTATTTAGGAACCCACACTATCTATCTGTGTTTCCCGGTAGTGTTGATAATTTTTTTTACAGAGTCTTCATGATGAATTGCAAGAATTTGGTGGCTTTAAATAACATGACTAAGGTAGGGAATAAAGTTTTAAGATTGTTTTTTTCCCCTCCTATCTGAAAAGAAAATTGGCTTTCTAGATTCTAGAACATACAGGTTAATATAGTTTTCTCTGTAATTATTGACTTCTGAACTTTCTAGATGTTGTGGCAAAAAAAAAAACCCCAAAAAACCTTTCGCAGAGCTCTTTTTATTAGTTAGGCTGAATAGGGAAGACTACAAGTGTTTTTAGTGATTTCTTTTCACATCTAGGTGGTCTTCATTCTCTCCAGTATGAAAGTTGTTGAGAATACATTTTCTGTTAATTATGTATGATACTGAGAATTTAGAATTCCTCCAGTTATAAATTTTCCTAATTTAAGGTTCTCAGAAACATCAGAATCAGCACATCCTTTTTTCCTCTAGAATTTATACTAGTTGACAAAATGATAATTCGCTTGAATGAGCCATCACACACCTGTGTCAGATAAGGTTTTGTTTCTCAGTGTGTATTCCTCCCAGCCAGCTAAAATACAAACTACAGTTTTAAAATCAGTTTCTTAAAAATAATTCCTTTTCAACATCTTGGTGAAATAAAAGCAACATATCAACCTCATAAATTAAAAAAAAAAATTTGTAGTTACCTGAAGCAAGCAGTTTTTAAATACAGGTGTGGTATATAATGAAAAGGAGAATGATTATTTTTATCCAAATATCAAATTTTTGTTGCAAGATATAAAAATGCAGAAATATTCATATCTGTGTCACTAATGGAATTCTACCGGACACTATTTTTATATGTTACTTATATATTAATATAATAAGAATGTTAAAAATTTTAGAAGCGCCAGCTGATGTGGCTCAGTTGGTTGGAGTGTTGTCCTGTGGACTGAAAGGTCGAGGTTCAGTTGGATTCAGTTCCCTGTCAGGTCACATGTGTAGGTTGTGGTTCAGCCCCCTGTTGGGTACATAGGGAGGCTGCCATGTCAAGGCTGCTGATAGATATATTTCTCTCTCGAATTAATGTTTCTTTCCTTTTTTCTCTTCCCCCTTCCCTTCTCTCTGAAATTAGTGAGTGTAGGTAGCCTGAGGTGAGGATGGAAAACAATTAAAATTTTAGAAAAGCTGAAAAGAATATAATGACTTGTTCTAGACTAAAAATAGGAGTCTGAATATTTTAGGGTATTGTGGAGCTTATTGTTATAATATTAGATGGGGGAGCAACCCAGGCATATACTGGGACCAGGACCAAGGATTGAACCTGTGACCTTTTGATTTGTGGGACAAAATCCAACCAACTGAGCTACACTGGCTGGGGCAAGATTCAGTATTTTCTTAAACACACACATGCACACAAACACAAACACACACACAGTGTAGGAAATAGATATCTACACAAAACCATTGGAAGTCCAGCATTGGTTCAAGGAATTTGCTAATGGTTTTGGTTTTTCTGAATTTTTGTAAAAAATTTATTGTTGTTCAAGTACAGTTTTCTGCCTTTTGCCTCCACCTCTCCCCACCACCCTGGCCATCCCCACCTCCCTTCTTTCCCTTCCCCGATTCCCTCCCCACTTGGTTTCGTCCATGAGTCCTTTATGGTTATTTCCGAAAACCCCTCACCCTTTCCCCCCATTATCCCCTCCCATCTCCCCTCTGGTTACTATCTAATTGTTCTTAATTTTGATGTCTCTGGTTATATTTTGCTTGTTTGTTTTGTTGATTAGGTTCCTGTTAATGGTGAGATCGTATGTATTTGTCCCTCACCATCGCTAAGCTTATTTTACTTAGCATAATGCTCTCCAGTTCCATCCATGCTG